GGGGGGGGGGGGGGGGGGGGGCCAGGCAGACACCTGACTCTTCAGGAACAGACAGGGCCCAGGAGCCTCCAGACAGGACTGGGCATGGGTGGGGGTGGCACGCTAGCAGTGGTTTTCTTCGTCTCTGCCCAAGTCCTTTCCACACAGTCTCACACTGAATCCTTCCAAATGCCCACACGGCCAGTATTCAATCCCCACTAAAGCCAAGGGTTGGTCTCCTCATCAAAGAAGCTGTGAGAGAGGCTCACGGGGACAGTATTCTCATGCCTGTTTTGCTGATGAGGAAGCTGAGGTTAAAAAAGTGAGGTTACTCAGCCAAGGTCACAGAGCTAGCTGAGAAAAAATGTCTGACTTCTAATCGAGTGCTCTTTATTCAACACTGACACCTAAAAAAAAAAACTGGAGGGGGCATTTGCAGAGGCTGTGATCGGAGTCCGTGTTACCCAGCTCCTGCCGGGGTGAAAGAAGAAGTCCTGGAATTGGGTGTCACCCTGGTCTTGGCTCTAACTTCTGGAGGGACTCAGGCCACTGTCATCCTGGAGGTTTAGTTCAACCTCACACTTTGGAAAATGTGGCCATTTCTAGACCATCCCACCCTGAGCAGGTGCTGGGGTAGTGACTCCCAGGGCATCACACACACAATGTCAAGGAAAGGCCAAGTCCTTGGGCAGTGGGACAAGAAGAAAGGCGGTCAGCCACTCCTATACAACTTGAGCCTTCCCCTTTCTCCTCCATCCCATACAGCCGCGCTGCCCAATACGGAAGTTGCTAGCCACATGTGGCTATTGAGCACTTGGAATATAGGTAGTCTGAATTGGGACACACTGGATATTAAAGACATAATCTGGACTTTAGGAGAATATAGAATTTATTAGATATAGGATACAAAACAAAACTCATCCAAAGCTCTCTTTATTCCCATAGGCTTTCCCACCAAAATCTCCTATAATCATTTCACACCCCAAAACCACTAGCAAAGATTAAAGATATCAAAGCTCCCAGAAATGACAGATGCTCAGTGGAAGGAGGGCGATGGTGGGATCAGATGAGCTCATTCCTGGAGCCCCACTGTTTGCTCTGTCACAGCAGCAAGTCAATACTATACCAGAGGCTGATGTCAGGGAAATTCTAAACATGTGATTGGCTGGAGCTTCTGGTTAGGGGTGTGGGGGGAGAGGGTGGAGCACTTATTCCCCCAGTACGCACTTCATTTGCTTCTCTACCCAATACTGCTTCTGCTCCAATAGTGCCTGTGAGAACCGGTTCATGGCTGGAGGATCCAAATGGAGACAGAGAAAAAGAAAGATTTAGTAGGTTTGCAGGTAATGGTAGACCATCACGGAGCCTCTCGTTCAGGGATGTTGAACTTCAGCCTGCTCTTCTTTGGGATGCATTTCCAAGTCTACCCACCACATCTCTAATGGGGTTTTTTCAGCTTCATTGTCACAGCATCAGCTTGCCAGACACCTTCGTGTCTCATATAAAATCCTATAACCTGGCGATAGACTTGGACTCATCAGGGTTTCTATTGCCTTTAGTGTCCTTCACTCAGTCTGTTCTCCTCAGTAGCTCAAAATTTATTTTTATAACATAAACACTCTTTCTTCACTGCTCGATTCCCAGCAGGTAGAACAGTGTCCAGCATGTGGTGGAATGCAACACATCATTGTTAAATGAATGTCATGTTCTCATAACCTTCAGAGGAGAATCTGACTCCAGAGAATAACATCCAGGGACATCCATGACCATCTGCCTGTCTATCTCACCTACTAACTCAAGCCCCACAGGGCAGAGGACCACTTCTGATTAGTGCCCTGCTCAATGTAATCCCAGGCAGGTCATGTAATCCCTGTTTGCGAAGGAACTTAATCAAAATATGAAAGTGCAAACCATCTATGGTATAGATACACTGTAGCTATAGCTACTCAGCTATAGGACTACAGGAGTGGAAGACACCAGGATTGGAATGTCAGCACCACTCACCGACTTTCAGGCGGAGGGGATTATCCGTAAAGGTGAGGCGGAACCAGCCAGGCTCCTTACACATGTAGGCCTTGCCAGGGGCCAATAGGAGCTTGTTGTCCAGGAAGCGGCGATAAAGGAGCTGCTCTTCCTCAAATGTGCATGGGTCCAGGTACTAGGGAAGGCAGGGGGACAGAGCTGAGCCCAAGACCTATCAGGCAGGTCTGCCCAAGGACACCTGTCCTCATTTCCAGAGCTCACCTCTTTCAAGTTGACCCAGATATAGAGACCAGAGCCACGATTGAGAAAAGGGATCTTCAATGTCTTCAACCTGTTAGTGATGTATCTGTGAGCTTCCTGCATCCGGGAGCGATTAGTGGGCAGGTACACGTTGTCAATCCATTCTGGATGGGGGTAGGGGGAGAATGGTGTCACAGGTCTTGTGACACAGAACTGCCAAGAATTCTTTGCCACATGCTCCCTACCTGGACTTCCTGGCAGCTATTTCTGTCCAAGACTGACTCTGTACTATATTTGAGCTGATAGCATCCATATTCGAAACTCACCTCCTACCTACCTACAGCTGTGGAGGAGACACTGGGCGTCTCAGTAAACCTGTAGGAGTGTTCTGTTTGAGTTTACAGCTCTGACACTAAGTCAGGGTTGATGCTGCTGTTGTCCAATGAGCAAGAAGCAGGAACTCACAGCTCCCCATACCTCCTGCCTTACAGCCTCACACAGTGGACTTTGTTGTATTTGGCGATGATCTTAGCCCAGTTGTTCTCAGCATTGGCAGCACATAGAACCACCAGGGGAGCTTGTGAAAATGCTCATGGCCAGGTTATATCCCCAGATCACCTAAGTCAGAACTTTGGGGTGGAGTCCACACATTGGCATTTAAACTCCCATGTAATTCCCAAATTGATAGCCATGTTCACAGGGCTGGGAACCTGGTTTCTGCCAAATATCAAAGGGCCTGGTACCATGTAGGGACATAGGTAATTGGATTTCTCCTTTTACTCACCCAAAGATGAAAGTTAAGTTGTTTTCTCAACCAGATTATTTGGTTACTTTCATTTATTTAATTATATCCCAGCTTTTAATTGAAATCTTTTAGACTGGCATCTGTTCTACTACAGGCAATTAAAGAAAGGGGCCCTTCTCTATGTTTGGGCCATGGCACTAAAGGGGGAAGTTCTCCCTGACACCAGCATTCACATCAGATCCAAGGGGCAGAAGAACCCAAGGGCCATAGATGTAGCCACAGCAACTTGCCCAAATGGCAGCGCTTCCTTGGCCACCTTGGCAGGTGAAGTTAGGTCAGACTTGAGGAGTCAGGGTACTTATTTCTTTGTAATCTTTGCCTGAGCAAGCAGAATATTGGAAAGGGGAAAGAGGCCTTGACGTAAGGACGGATTTCTGAAGTTCCCCCTGAAGTCTGCATATGATTGTCTATCCCCTTTCCAGGTAGAGCACGAGCTACCAAACAGCCAGAAATTAAAGCCCATCCTGGCTTTTAGACCAGCACCTCCCGCTTCTGTCTACATCCTCGTGCCCCCTCTGAGCTGCATCCTGCCTTCCTTCAAACTTCCTGTCCTCCACCATGACACCTGAGACAGCAAACAGGATGTCAGGGGACTGAAGGCATGTCAGAGGCCCAAGCAGACCCAGGAATCCCCCGTGGCCCTGAGCACCGAGATGCCTGGATGGAGCTCAGTACCTCTGTCCTGGAGCAGCCGACACAGCTTGTGCTGGGTGATGCCAGAGATGCCGTGGAGGAAGCCAAAAGCGCCCACAGCAGAGACCACCTCCTTGTTGTGGGTGTACAGAGTGCCAAAACGGAAGCCAGAGATCCCAAATCCCTAGAGGAAGAAAGGGAAACCTGGTTGGTCTGCCTTCTGCTCTTGGTTCCTCTTCCCTCCCAACTCAAGGACAGGCAACTGGGACTCACCTTACTGGTGCCCCAGATCACATGGGTCCTGTTGGGGTCAGGTAAACTGGAGAGGAGACAGTACAATCAAGGTTATAGAGAAATGTTTGAAGGATAAAGATAGGGTCTTTGTGTGAAAAGGAGGAAAAGGACTTGAGGTCCTTCCTCAATAGAAGGACCTACAGGGTAAAATTTCAAAACACAATTGCCCCAGTTAAGCCAAGAAATGAATACAAGGTATTTTGGGGGAACAAGATGAGACAGCTCTCACGTGCCTATTGAATAAAATCAGGACCCTCAGCCTGGCTTGTGGGCCTGTCTCCAGCTGGTCCCAAGCCACCTCCTGTCAGTCGGTTCTTCACACATGAGGTACACCCACCATTTCTAAAATGTGCTCACTTCTTACTGCTCCACCTATGTTAATACTTTTACTTCATCCGGGAATGCCATTTCCTTGCTTTGGCTGTTAGAACCCTATCCTAGGGCCAAACACTGTTCTTAAGAAAGTTCTGCCCCCTGTCTACATTTCCCCTAGGAACTTATCAAGAGGTTCCTACATGGAACTTCAGCAGGACTTCATCTTGACTTTTTAAAATAGATGTTTTATTGATTTTTAGAGAGAGAGAGGGAAGCAGAGAGAGAAAGAGAAACATCAATGTGAGAACAGAGCATCAATCAGCTGCCTCCTGCACACTCCTTACTGGGGATCCAGCCTTCAGCCCGGGCATGTGCCCTGACCAGGAAGTGAACCAACAATCTTTTAAGAGGTCACCCAACCAACTGAGCTACACTGGCCAGGGCCATCTTGACTTTTGATAGTGCACTTTCCACCTTGCCCTCAGGTTTCCTCATGTACAAAATGGCATTTAGAAGAGAAGATATTTGAGAGGTTAGATGAGGCCTTGCTAGTTTTCTAATTCCAGTTTTCTAATTCTAGTTTTCTAGTTCCAAGCACTTAGCCAATTAAATTAAAGGCACATAAACTGATCCAGCAAAGCAGTTTATGATTCTCATTCCCACTCCAGCTGAGACCAACTCACCTTTCCATGCTCAGAACACTGTGGAATGGGATGGATTCATCAAACACAGTCCCCCTGTATATCTCATCAATAATCACATGTAGGTTGTACCTGCAAGTTAGGCAGAAAAGTGAAAACATCAAAGTTCTCTCTCAAATCTTAACTCACTTTCTGTTATGGTCAATTCTGGATACAGATCAGATCCTCCTATTGCCCCAGCAGCCCATCCACCAAAGATCAGGGTAAGGCAGAGGGGCTGGTGCACCAGAAAGGACCTTACACACGGCTAGGGAGTACTTGGAAGGCATAGAATACAAAAGACACACATGAGAAAATCTTACTGAACCTTTCAATCCTCAAGCAGAGACCACTTCGGGGTATTAAGTGTACATTGTGTTTATTCTCCCATTGGCCCTCTGAGGCAGTACTGTTCTCTCCATTTCACAGATAAGACAAAGTTAATAACCCTCTATTAGCAGCTTTTGGAGCTGGAATTTGAACCCAATTCTGTCAAATTCTACGGTATCTAGCCCAGGACTTGCAATGTTCTTCTTCTTGTCCCCATGCTCTGCTATTGATTGCTCTGGCTTATATGAGGCTTGGACAAGTGCATCACTTCTAGAGAATAGAAGACTATCTACCCTCACTAACAGGGATGTTTCTGGACTCCAGACATGTCAGATATGAAATGTTCTTAGGAATAGGACATTTCTTCATCTTCATCCCACATCATCCGACAGTCTCTCTTTCCTGGCACCTCAGGGCAAGTAGTTTGGAAGTGGATTCTGGGAAAGTGCTCATGCTACAAGAAGTGATTGTTACATAGGTGTCTGCACATAGACAAACACTAGAAAGAAATTGAGGAAAAGAGAATGGTGGAAGGTATAGCATGTGGTTACATTTTCCTTCATTCCCATTTCAGTTAGTTGTACACCACTTTGCAGAGTACAATAAGCAGTAAGCATAGTTAGGGAAAATTATTTCTGGTTCTGACTTCTTGTCCATGACCGATGGCAATTGGTTTAATTTCAAGGGTTAAACCCCTACCTCTTGGCAAATTCCAGGTATTCCATCAGTGAGTCCAAACTGCCGATGTCTCCCAGAGAATTATTGGGGTTGAAGAGAACAAGACCTCTGACCTTTTTCCCCTGAAAGAACCAAACATAACCCAATGAACACAAATACTTTACATCTACTTCATGTTCAGCCAATGTCAGTCAGGACACCTAATATAGGTCACATAATCAAGGTCTAGGTTTGATCTTGAAGCACCTATCATACTGCCCCCAGGGCAGAGCAGGAAGCAGCACTGGGGACTGCCACTGAGAAGGCTCAGGGCTCCCAGAGGAACATGCCCCTGGGACACTGCCTCTTCTGAAGAAGGAGCCCGCACAGTCTTGCTGAGGAAGTAGCAGAGTAGTCTCAGCACTGAACCCCCTTCAGGGCAGCAGTGCCCACCCTGACCCATGGTCCTCTCCTTACCTTAAACTTAGCCTCCAGCAGGGCTTTCTCCAACTTGTCCACAGTCAGCTGGAATGGCTGGGTGTCCGCCTCAGTGATCTGGAACACAAACACTGTCTGAGGACCGCCCATCTGACTGCTTCTAAGCTTTGATCCCTCATTCCCATAAACTCTGAACAATCCTTGGCCTTCATACCCAGGGTACCAGTCCCACGGGCCCTCTTTGCTCTGATTTCCTTATCCTTGCCCAACACCACTTATATGAGAGGAAAGCAAGCCTCCCCACCCCACCCTATGCCTTCAATTGCCTTCCAGAACATTCCATTGCCTAGGTGGGCTGAGCAGGGAAAGGGCCCCAGTCTGACCTCACTGTCCAGGTGGACACGAATCAGCTCAACATTCACATATAGGCTGGAAGTAAACGTGAAGCCAGAATAGAAGGGGGTGATGATCAGAAAGGCATCTGGAAGCACAGGGAGATAAGGCTGTCAGTCCAGGGTCTCTTGTTCAGAACCTACCACACACCACCTGACCCCGAGACCAGCAGCAACTCTATCAACAGGGTAGCTTACTTGGCCAATCCCTCCTACTTGGGGATTAATGCTTTGGGGCTCAGGCCCTGTAAAAGGTAGCTATTCTTATAAACAATATTTGGGGAATAAAACTCTAGTGTAGTCCTTGGGACTACACTAGAGAAGGAGACAAGGAAAGAACCCTGTTCTCAATGGCTCAGAAACCAGGGCACAAATCAAGCCAGCCCTCCTAGCAGGGTGAGCACGGGGCACTCACAAATTCTGGTCAGCTCCACAGCAAACACCGGAGGCTGCTTCTCCACATGACTCAGGTTACCTGCAACTAGTGGCCTCATACATTCTTCTCCTCCCATCATTTGGCCTTATTGATGAACTAACCAAATACCTACTGACTTGAATGAAACTGGCCACCTTGGTAACTACTTTCCATGCAGCCAAAGCTCATTAAAGTCTGAGACTCTTGCTTGGACATTGTTAAGAGGGACATTGAGAACAGATCTCTCAGCCTTACTTGATCTAGAATTAATTAGACATTATTTTTAGGAGGAGGTGATAGAAATTCTATACAGTTTAAGCCAGTTTACCAGGACTCTCTGTGTTGAAGTTGAGCCCCAAGTCCCAGCTAATAATATAACGGGTTGGCTCCCGCCATCACCATCCCTAGGGCATACCTCCTTGAGGACTCTCCCATGATTTCCTTCCTCATTAAGTGGGGATCCAAATCCCTCACTCCTACAGAAATAGTAGGAAGATGTTCTAACCAGTGTAGGAGAGTCCTAGCACATTAGGGGAAGGGCCTGAATCAAGATGTTTTTCTTCTCTGAGGCCCCTGAGGGAAAGCAGAGCCCGTTGACTTACCGCCTGGATTACATAGCACCAAGGTCAAGGCAGAGAAGATAGCACAGCAGCCACTTAGAACAACCACCTGAAGAAGATGCACAGAAAGTACAAGTCAATCCCCATGTATGAAGGACTAGTACCCATTGGCTTTTACTTTTCTTGACCCTGATGGGTCTCTGCTGGTTCTCCCTGTACCCTCTGGAATATGCAGAGTCCCTCAAGAATACAGCCCTCCACTAGGACAGCAGTGAGGCTGGGAAACTGACTCACATTTTCGGGATCAAGCTGCTCAGGTGCCTTGCAGTAGTAGGTCAGGAACCGGGCTACTTCTTCCCTCAGGCTACGGAGAAACCCAGAGAGATCTTGTGGTTCCCAGGTCTAGACTGTAGTCTTTTCCAAAGGGCAGAGTCCAAATATGCTATAGGGTTTCTGACAGAGGCTATCAGTTCCCTGGGTTACAGATGGTAAATCTCGCCAGGATCTCAAGCCTTTGGAATTAATCAGCAATGCCATTTGTACTACAGCAGGCTACCTCAGAATGTTGAACTGTAGGCATGTTCTAGAAGTTGTTCCCCAAAGAATCTGATACTTTGAGCCCTTCCCTGCACGGTGCCTGTGGACCAGGAGGCCATAGATCTGGAAGTTACTTACAATGCATGTCCACTCCAATCAGGATATTGCAGAAGGTCATCATCAATGTAGTTCATGTCACTCCGACTCAACTGTTGACAAATAAAGCATGAGGACAGCCAGACAAGGGAAGTCCCACAGTCCCCACAGTCTTCATCCTACTCCTAGGATGCAGGTGGGCATTTGCCCTACAACACAGGGCCTCCCAAAGGGCAATGGGGACACATGCTGCATGCTCCTCAAGGAAGGGAGGCCCTGACCTTCTTATCAGATCACACAAATGGATAACTTACTGAGAACTGCTGAATTAACAGCCTCCCCAACTGTACACTTGGGCCAGGGGCTCCCTTGTCAGTCTACCCAAAATATACCCATCCAAAGAATACCTCTGAACAGTCAGAAAATCCAGGAGATGACACATGCTATTCTAGAAGCCGTTTCCCCACTCCCTTTCCCAATCGCCTAAGTCCCACTCCTATAGCTACCACATGCTAGGGGGACTGGGCCTGAATATGGGCCCCAGCAGCCCGGAACTTGGCTTACCCTTTCAGTCAGCAGATCAATGCAGAGTTTGTTCTCACTGAGGCCAAGGTTAATGAAGCCCTGCAGATGGAAGGAATCTGAGATCAGTCCTTCTGCCCAGCCTAGATGAACCCTTTAAACATGTCAAAAAGTACTCTTCCCGGATGATTTCCAAAGGGGAGAGCTCACTGTCCCATGAGGCAATTCAATCCACGTTTACATGTTTGAAAGTTTCCCACAGCCCCAAAATCATACAGCTTGCAATATCCCCCTTTAGAGCCACAGAGATAAATAATAGTTATATTACAAACCAGTGACCAATCATTGGGTTCTTATTATGTGCCAGACACTAGACTAAGTGCTCCACGTGAGTTGCTTTTCATTTCACTATTCCTGAGAATAAAGTTCTAATATGGTCCCTACTTTTAAGTGAGTGAAACTAAGAAAGATCGAATAGCCTACTAGCCATATGACCTTGGTGATGGGTAGACTTTACCTGCCTGCCCCAGAATCTGGATCCTTAAGCACCACAGACCCAGCCTCATACCCATCTCTGTTATTTCCACTTCCAGGTACAGGATTTTCAAGTTATTAGAGGAGCTATAGTTCTTCAGAGTCCCAGGGGTACCTGACTCACTTGGCCCCCAGAAAAGCACATGGCCACTGAGCACATGTCACTCAGCTAGAAGCAGAGAGATGATATACTCATGCCATCCTCTACTCTCTGACTGGAGAGCTGTTGTGAACATCCCTTGCTGGAAGCCTTTCATTGACCCCTTGTCACCCTTAGGATAATATCTTACCCCTGTCCTACCCCTGTCCACACTTCTTGTCACAGCCCTCATTGCCCCTACTCTATCCGCATGGGCCTCCTTTTCCATTCACTCCAAGTCCTTCCCACCTAAAGCTTCACACATGTTGTTGTTCCCCTTCAGAGGACCTCCTATCTCACCACCACCCACCATCCCACCACCACCACCTTTAAGACAAAGGTGGCATCCCCTCAGTGCTCTCAGCAACATTATTGTTTCTTTCCCAATGGCTGATGACTATCATCTCTAGATTGAGTTCAATGAGGGCTGGTTCACTTACACCTATGACCACAGTGACTCCTGGAGGGTAAGAGCAGGGGTTAGGGAAAGAAACCAGAGGGAAAGAATGGAATCCAATCTCAACCTTAGTAGGTCAGGAACCGGGCTACTTCTTCCCTCAGGCTACGGAGAAACCCAGAGAGATCTTGTGGTTCCCAGGTCTAGACTGTAGTCTTTTCCAAAGGGCAGAGTCCAAATATGCTATAGGGTTTCTGACAGAGGCTATCAGTTCCCTGGGTTACAGATGGTAAATCTCGCCAGGATCTCAAGCCTTTGGAATTAATCAGCAATGCCATTTGTACTACAGCAGGCTACCTCAGAATGTTGAACTGTAGGCATGTTCTAGAAGTTGTTCCCCAAAGAATCTGATACTTTGAGCCCTTCCCTGCACGGTGCCTGTGGACCAGGAGGCCATAGATCTGGAAGTTACTTACAATGCATGTCCACTCCAATCAGGATATTGCAGAAGGTCACCATCAATGTAGTTCATGTCACTCTGACTCAACTGTTGACAAATAAAGCATGAGGACAGCCAGACAAGGGAAGCCCCACAGTCCCCACAGTCTTCATCTTACTCCTAGGATGCAGGTGGGCATTTGCCCTACAACACAGGGCCTCCCAGAGGGCAATGGGGACACATGCTGCATGCTCCTCAAGGAAGGGAGGCCCTGACCTTCTTATCAGATCACACAAATGGATAACTTACTGAGAACTGCTGAATTAACAGCCTCCCCAGCCACACACTTCGGCCAGAGGCTCCCTTGTCATTCTACCCAAAATATACCCATCCAAAGAATACCTCTGAACAGTCAGAAAATCCAGGAGATGACACATGCTATTCTAGAAGCCGTTTCCCCACTCCCTTTCCCAATCGCCTAAGTCCCACTCCTATAGCTACCACATGCTAGGGGGACTGGGCCTGAATATGGGCCCCAGCAGCCCGGAACTTGGCTTACCCTTTCAGTCAGCAGATCAATGCAGAGTTTGTTCTCACTGAGGCCAAGGTTAATGAAGCCCTGCAGATGGAAGGAATCTGAGATCAGTCCTTCTGCCCAGCCTAGATGAACCCTTTAAACATGTCAAAAAGTACTCTTCCCGGATGATTTCCAAAGGGGAGAGCTCACTGTCCCATGAGGCAATTCAATCCACGTTTACATGTTTGAAAGTTTCCCACAGCCCCAAAATCATACAGCTTGCAATATCCCCCTTTAGAGCCACAGAGATAAATAATAGTTATATTACAAACCAGTGACCAATCATTGGGTTCTTATTATGTGCCAGACACTAGACTAAGTGCTCCACGTGAGTTGCTTTTCATTTCACTATTCCTGAGAATAAAGTTCTAATATGGTCCCTACTTTTAAGTGAGTGAAACTAAGAAAGATCGAATAGCCTACTAGCCATATGACCTTGGTGATGGGTAGACTTTACCTGCCTGCCCCAGAATCTGGATCCTTAAGCACCACAGACCCAGCCTCATACCCATCTCTGTTATTTCCACTTCCAGGTACAGGATTTTCAAGTTATTAGAGGAGCTATAGTTCTTCAGAGTCCCAGGGGTACCTGACTCACTTGGCCCCCAGAAAAGCACATGGCCACTGAGCACATGTCACTCAGCTAGAAGCAGAGAGATGATATACTCATGCCATCCTCTACTCTCTGACTGGAGAGCTGTTGTGAACATCCCTTGCTGGAAGCCTTTCATTGACCCCTTGTCACCCTTAGGATAATATCTTACCCCTGTCCTACCCCTGTCCACACTTCTTGTCACAGCCCTCATTGCCCCTACTCTATCCGCATGGGCCTCCTTTTCCATTCACTCCAAGTCCTTCCCACCTAAAGCTTCACACATGTTGTTGTTCCCCTTCAGAGGACCTCCTATCTCACCACCACCCACCATCCCACCACCACCACCTTTAAGACAAAGGTGGCATCCCCTCAGTGCTCTCAGCAACATTATTGTTTCTTTCCCAATGGCTGATGACTATCATCTCTAGATTGAGTTCAATGAGGGCTGGTTCACTTACACCTATGACCACAGTGACTCCTGGAGGGTAAGAGCAGGGGTTAGGGAAAGAAACCAGAGGGAAAGAATGGAATCCAATCTCAACCTTTCACCTTTCTTGGGCATGTCACTCTATTTTGTGCCCATTCCCTTATCCATAAAGAGAAAATACCACCTACTTCTTAAGACTGGGAAGAGTAAGCGAGAGAGCACAGTACTTGGCACAGGACTCAGTAAATCCTAGTGACTGGGCCTCTCTAGTGTGCCCTTCCCACCACCCACATCCTCACCGAGGTGTTCTTGTCCTCATGGTATTTGTCTCCTTGGTAGGCTATAAAGTCCTTGAAGCTGGACTTGTATGAGGCGGAGATGTCAATCCCACGGGTGGATAGGTCACAGCTGACAACTGCAGCTTTCGAATCACTCAGTTGGTGACTTAGCTGGTCAGGCTTCCTGGGCAATCGGGCCTGCTGTCCACCTCCACCCCTTGAGTCCAGGGAAAGGCGAGGCAGTTGGAGCTCCAGGCTACTTGTGGCACCAGCCTGTAACAGGTTGACCACCTCGCCCAGTAATTGGACGAGGATGGCTTCCTGCTCCCTGGTGTCCTGACTGTGCCGTTGCTTCTCCTGCTCCAGGTCCTCCTGCAGGTGCCTGATCTTCAGCTGCCTGGAGTACTCATCTATGAGCTGTCGCAGGCGCAGGATCAGCTCCATCACTGGGGGGTGGGGCTTCTGGGTTTTGAGGCCCTGGTCCTTCATTTGGCCACAGGGCTTGTGGAGGCTGTCAGATTGGTGACTCATAGTCTGGGTCTTGGTTGTGGTCTCAACAAGCTTTCCTGAACCTACAGAGAAAGAGAGAGACCATGTACTGCAGTAACATAGACTTCCCCTGGCCTCTGTGTCCTCCCTCATACACACTAGGTTAGAGAACTGAAGTGGTTCTGAAAGAGTTACCTACTCATGCAAGGGCAATGCCTAAGTGGCCCCAGCCCGGACCCTTGAGCAATGTGCTTCTGGCATCAAGCCCTGGTCATCAAAGCCCTCAAATTACCACCACAAGACAAAAAGAAGCAAAAACAACAATAGTAACAAAAACACATTAAGCCCAGTGGAATGATCACTTTTGATGAGATTGTTAACATTGTCCGACAGATGTGGCACTGATCTTTAGCTAGAGAACTCTCTGGAACTATTAATGAGATCCTGGGGACTGCCTAGTCTGTGGGCTGCAATGCTGATGGCCAACGCCTTGGTGACATCATAGATGACATCAGCAGTGGTGCAGTGGAATGCCCAGCTAGTTAAGAACTACAAAGGAAAATGTTTCAATTAAAGATCATTTGACAACCAAAAATATTTTTTTTCTGAGGAAAAAATAATCTTAGGGCTCACTTTGAGGAAAAGTAGAAACTGAACAGACAGGCTCTGAGTTCTCCACCCTGTGCTTCAACTAGAGCAATTCCCCCTTCATAGTGTTCTAAGAAAGGAGAGGGATGCTGCTGCTATAAGAAAGGAGAAGGGAGGGAAGGAGGGAGGGAGGGAGGGAAGAAGGAAAGAAGGAAGGGAGGGAGGCCAGTATGTGAGGGCATCCTGTTGGAGGCACCGGGAGGGAGGGAGGGAGGGAGGGAGGAAAAAAACCTTGTCACTTCTGTTATTGGTTTGTGGCACCAACGCTTCAAAGTACTGGACACCATGCCCAACCTCTCCAAACTATGTTTGGTCAGCTTGTGATGTTCCCATAGCAACCTATACTTCGAAGTGACAATACTGTTACTTGTTCAGTGTCTGTATATATAGTTATTTCCTTAGCACAGTGCCTGGCATGTGGGTAACTAGTTGTTTAAAGCGGTTAGAATGAGAACTTCTACAGACAGGTTTATGGAGCAGAAAATGGGGGTGAGGTCAAGTAACCAAAAGAACTGTGTTTTCCTGGTAAAATGTATTTTCTAATACAAGGAAACTGAGCATGCAGAAGGCCAGAAGGAAACCTGGCAGGTGGGCCTCTGCCAAGACCAGTCCTTTCTATTAAAAAAAAAAAGCCTATTGTGAATGATGCTTTTCATAAAGGCAATAATGTCCCTAAACTGTCTAGTGTTGAGGTATACCAACCTCTGCTCAAGTCTTTTGCCTATACCTGTGGTTTCAGTATTCCTCAGCTTCCGACCATCTATACCTCTCAAGTCGCATGCAGGGGTCTTCTACAGCAGCTAGAGCAGTGTCTCGGAACCAGCCCAGCTGGTGCCAACAGCCCTCTGATAAGAGCTGAAGGACACACAAACAGTAGAAGCCAAGAAGGGGACATGGACATGGGAAATGAACCAGCAACAAGCCGGCTCATGATCATTCATCTCTAGCACATGGGTACACTCTTCAGACCCAGGACACTTTGAATGTCACTTTTCCTAGTGCCCTACAAACCCTCTCCCTCTGCCTTGCCCTCCAGCCTTCCTTCCCCTTGCTCAGAGCCTCCCCTGGTGTCTCAGTATCCTAACCTAATTCGATTCTTCCTTCTTAGTGTGGCAGTACGATAAGCATCATAGAGTTTTCTTAACATGCATGGGAAACAAGGTGTTTGGGGATATGGATCCCTAAGTACTAGTGGCAAAATTGAAAGCTCAGGCCAAAGCACCCTGGAGAAGCCTAGATTCTATTCTATAGTAACTATTCACCAATTGTCCAAAGTCAGAAGAACTATTTCCCCTGTCCTGGCATCAGTTTTTCCATATGTAGATGAGGAGATACTTGCCTCAAGTCAAGGTAATAAAACGGAAGCTCAATGAAGACAAGTAACTTCTATGGTTCCCCAGTAGAGCCAGGATTTAAGCCTTAGACCTCTACGTTAACCCAGAACTCTCAGAGGAGAGAACCAGCAGACAACCAGCCCTTGCATGGACCGTTCCCTTCACCTCACATTCCCCCAGAGATTTCAGGTTCTAAAGTTGGACTACTATGTCCAACAATATTGTCATCTGGTCCTATGGGTGACTTGGAGTCCTTGGACAGAGCAAACAAATTTCTGGAAGTGGTTTCCTTAGTCCTCGAATTTCTCAAAGGCTCATTTTTTAAATACAGTGTCCAGCATACAGAACATCCAGCCACACGAACAAACAGCATGAGCTAAAACCAGCACAGACAACAGAAAGACCAACTGGACTCCAGCTGCCAGGAATAGATGTAAGATCATTGCTTTCCCGTTCATGGGAAGGGATCCATGAGAGGGCAGTGAGGTCTGGGACCCCTTTTGGACCATAGGCTGCCCAGCTTCTGCCATTGTTCCATGGCACAGAGGGGGTTCCTGGTTAGGGTTTGTTGATGGTTACTGGTCACTAACCAATGAGTGACTGAAGACAGGAATGGAGGAATCGATCAGTTTTTGGTCCCAGGTGAATGCTGACAGTGGAATGATTTGCCTACTCTAGGGCCTAGAGGAAAACCCTCATGTTCCTCAACCTCCTGCATTTCCCACCACTCCCTCAGCTGATGCTCTCTCCTAGCAGTGGGCCCCCCTCCCAGCACAGCGCTGTCCCGTGGATTTGCCAAAAGGGGTCGCTGAATCCTAACTTTCCTTCCTGGCTCAGAAAACTCAGGGCAGCTACAGCTCAGGACTCAGAAGCCAGGGTGAGAGTGGAAGGGAAGGCCTGGGAAGGCCCAGAACCCCTCCTAGAGCCGCCAGTGTGTCTTCTGCAAGTACCATGTCCAATAAAGTACTGGCACCTGGCTGGGCTCAGGCAATACAATCCCGTTCTAACTCAAATCAACCCCTGTACTCTGAGGGCCTCTAGGATATTGGTCTTACAGGCAGGACCCAGGCTCAGTGATCGCACAACTAGAAATCATCAGTGGAAGGATTAGATTCCAGATTTGGCAAATACTTGCTCCCTCCTCCATTCCCCTTCCAACCCAGTTCCTTTTGGCTTCTCTGTTCCAAGGGCAAAGCAAGATTCCAAGTCTGGCATCTGCCTTGGCCTAACTCAGAAGGCCTTGGTTCTCTTTGCTGGTGGGAAGGCATGGAGGGAAGCAGAGTTCCTCCTCAAAGAACACTGCCTGTCTGCCCTCGGCTCCCCCATCCCCTGGTTTGCATCATGCTTGTCCCCTTGATTACTGTTCCCTGGGTTTTTAAGTAGTCACTTGCCCACAGGCAAATTCACTTCGGAGGGAGGAGCCTGGCAGACACAGGTGTGAGGGTAAAAGGGGGAAGATTCAGCAAATGGTCCTCTGACCCAGCTCAGAGAGAGACAGCAATGAAACCGAGGTTCTGAGGGGCCTACCTGAGAGGACCCGGCCTGTGCTCTTTGTGTGGCCAGAACCTGGGAGTCCAATGATGGGGCTTTCTTTGCTGATGTGGGTCCTGAGTTCCACATACTGGGCCTCCCAACAATGCAGGGAGGAGAATGACCTTGGTCCCACTGACCCAGGGGATGGACGTCAATCATTAAGAACCTGTTTTGAGGCCCTGTGGATGGACCTCTCATCCCAGCTCTAATTTTATCTGTATGTGTGTTCAGTGTAAAAGGGATGAGAAGGTCCATGGCTTTCATCAGACTCCCCCAGAGACCCAGAGTCATTATAAGGCAGGGGGTTCTTCCAGGGAAAGCTCGATTAGAGCCCACCACCCGGGGTGCTCCCTGCCTCCTTTGCTCTCCCATCCCTCCCCTCACCCCCAATTCTTTTGCTTTGGCTCCTCTATTTCTTCCCTCTGCCTGGATTTTTTTTTTGGAGCATCTCCTTCCAGCCCTTAGTCCACTGCCAGCCTTCAGTACCTCTTCAAATATGAGTAACCCGTTCTCCTTCCAGACCCGAGGCTCCGTTCAGTCAGTCTTTTCTGGGCTCTTTCTGTTTTCTTTCCCCAGGGTCTTCCTGCTTCTTCTGCCCCAGAGGAGTTGGCTCCAACCACCCTGTCCTCCCCACCCAGGACTCAGTATAGTGCTTAGGACATGAAGAAAAGGGTTTTGTTTCATTTCCACAGACACTATCTCTGCTTGAAGGGGGCCCACACTTCAGACCCCAGGGCCCCCTTCAAGAGCCCTGGTCCTGGGATAAAGGCCAGGCGACCTGGGCCTGGGTGTGCTGGGGAGAACGTGCAGGAGACGGCAGCAGGGGTGCCTGGGGCCTGGCTCCCTGAGGACAGCACTGTCTGGCTTTGGCGGGCACTGAGCTCATCTGATGGCGATGGTCCCGAGAAGTTTCTCTGTCTGTGTGGGGTGTGGGGTGTGGGGTGGGCAGTGTGCTCTATATGGAGCTGTTGTCAAGCACCTGAGGTTCAAGGCACAGTTTAAGGCCCATCTCAGCCACTTACAAACCGTGTGGCTGTAGGTTATTAGGTATCTCTGGGATCAATGTCTCATCTGTGAAGAGACACGAGGGAACAGGGGTTGAGGGGATTAATGTGAAATAACGGATATAACTGTGAGCCTCTCTTTCCAGATTCTTTCAAGCCATCCGCCAAACCACTACTTCAGCTGATCATTAAAATACTCATTCTTTCAATCCATTTTCATTGAGCCTTCCTGCCTCCCTCCCCCACTGTGCTCGCCGGTCTCCTGGGGCTGTGGCCATTTCAGGGAATATTCTGGAAGGTGCTGACTCCTCTCACCCGTTCCCAGGAGACCTAGATGATGACGAGTTGAGAGTTTCCACCGGACTTTTTCTTCCAGTCGCACCACATTGACCACTTCCTCCCACTGGGAAATCTCCTGACGGGAAATCTCCTCCTTGTCCCCAAGAGCCCTGCTCTGACTTCCTCACTTCTGCTGACCTGGGTCTTCCCTCAAAACCAGACTCTGCGGAGCTGGTCTCCCTCCTCCCTCCTCCCTTCTCCCTAGGAATTCTGGGGCAGGTGCAG